TGGGAGATGGAGTTTCACCTTTGCCTTATGTGCCAGCTAGGGAATTCTACCAGTATTCATGAAGGAATGCTGCGGTCCAGTGCAGAAATTTTATATCCTTGATCAGCTCATCAGCTGCCACCTTTCATGTTGAATATTAGACTGCTGTCATTTCCTAAGGCTTTTAAAAACCATTTATGCTTCTTCAACTCTGTAGTGCAGTAACATTAAATACCAGGCATAATGTCCTAACAAATGGCACTTGGAACAAAATAGCAAGCATGCTTTGGTGACTCAGAGCTGATCGGAAATCTACTGAAATTTCATCTCCCAGATTTGTCAATCTCTCTAAATGGTACTACGAAGCTTTGGCTAAAGTACTTGGGTGCAGAAGCCTGTCTTCAGGTAGGGGGACAGATGGGAGTAGTGATGGTAAGCCTTGAGTTGGTGAGACCTTCGTGTGCAATTGTCTGTTCCATCTCTGTCTCTAACAAGCTGTGTGACCTTGGGCTTCAGGGTCCTTATCTGTCAAAAGGAGGAACTAACATATTTCAAGCTCTTCCAATCTCATAGTGTTGATGTAATGATCAAATGAGATAATGGCTGAGAAAGTGCGTTGGAAAGACTATAAAAGTGAGGTGTTTTAAATTGGCACTTATTAAGCACTTATTAAGTGCCTTAGGAGAGACACCAAGATAAATATGACTCAGTTCCTGCCCTGAAGAAGTTCATAATCTAGTTTAGATGATAAGACATATGCACACAAAAAGCAAATAATACAAGGCAGCAAATAGATGTCAAAAGAGCAGTTTAGATTATAAATACTAGAGAAACTTAAAAAAGGTACAGAATTCTTTCTGCAGAAATAGATAGGAAAGATCATGAAATAAATCTTACTTTCATTGGGCCTGAAAGGATAGAGAAAATTTGGATCATTTAGAACGGTGGAAACATCCCAGCAAATGGAAGCAAAGACAGGAGTATAAACTGCATTCTAGGTTCAAGAGAAGATAGGACCAGCTGAAGTGAAGGATTTTATAGGCCTGCTCTACATAAACTAGAAAGTTGAGCCTATAGGCCATCCTGGCAGTTAAAAATGCAGCAAAGTACTAAAAAAAAGAACTTTAAAGACACCATCTGGTGTCCTTGAACAAGAAGAATTGCAAAAGGGGCCCTAGAATTCATTCATATTCTCTCTCCTCTCCTCTTTTTTCCAGATATTTTTGTAAAAAAACAAAAAACAAAAAACAGCTACACTGAAGCATTTTGGCATACAATATTTAAAATGTATAATTCAGGCCGGGCTCGGTGGTTCAGCCTGTAATCTCAGCGCTTTGGGAGGCCAAGGTGAATGGATTGCCTGAGCCCACGGGTTCGAGACCCGCCTGGGAACTTAGCAAGACCTCATCTCTACAATTAAAAAAAAAAAAAAAAATCAGCCAGGCGTGGTAGCGTGTGCCTGTAATTCCAGTTACTCGGAAGGCTGAGGCAGAAGGATTGCTGGAGCCCAGCCGGTCGAGGCTGCAGTGGCCGGGAGTGCCACTGTACTCCAGTCTGGGGGACAGAGTGAGACTCCAACTCAAAAAATAAAAATAAAAATAAATAAATAAAACGTACAATTCAATACATTTTGATATAACTATACATGTGTGAGGCCATCACCACAATCAAGATGGTAAACCTTTATTTGTGGCCAGGCTCAGTGGTTCAGCCTGTAGTCCCAGCACTTTGGGAGGCTAAGGTGAGTGGACTGCCTAGGTCCGTGGATTTCAGACCAGCCCGGGGAACTTGGGGAGACTTCATCTTTTTTTTTTTTTTTTTTTTTTTTTTAGTTGGAATCTCACTCTGTCCCCCAGACTGGAGTGCAGTAACCGCTCCAGGCCACCGCAGCTTCGACCTGCTGGGCTCCGGAAATCCTTCCATCTTAGCCTTCCAAGTAACCGGAATTACAGGCATGCACTACCACGCCCAGCTGATTTTTTGATTTATTGTAACGATGAGGTCTCTGCTGCCCAGGCGGGTCTCGAACCCGCGGGCTCAGGCAATCTACTCATCTCAGCCTCCCAAGGCGTGGGATTACAGGCTGAGCCACCGAGCCCGGCTGAGACTTCATCTTTACAATAAATAAAAAATTAGCCAGGTGTGGTAGCGCAGGCTTGTGGTTCTGGCTACTTGGAAGGCTGAGGGGGAAGGATCACTGGAGCCCAGCAGGTCGACATTGGGGTGGTCATGAGTGTGCCACTGCACTCCAGCGTGGGCGACAGAGTGAGACTCCAACTCAAAAAAAAGTTTACTTGTGTCCTGTATTAGGGTCACACTCTCCCAGCAGGACCTCCAGAATGTTAGGTCAGGCCTGCTGGGTGTGTGGGTGTCTGGGGCGTGATCTGATGCTGCATGAAAGATGCAAAGAATTGCACAGAAGTTAGATTAGAAAATATAGTTTATTTAAAGTAAATTAGAGAGAGAGAAAGAGAAGATTCACTTCCCCAAGGTGGGGGAGGAGGCCAAAGCCGTGAGGCTTGACGACAGCCATAGCTGAAAGAGCACATGGCCACACCAGAGTCTATCAAGGCAATGGCAAATGACTGCTTGTGATTGAGTCCTTTTAACCATTCCCTTTGATGGGGGAAGATCATTAAGGTAATTGGGAGGTGGTCTGCTACACTTCATCATGAAGGGGCAGGCATATGCAGGTACTGATGTCAGGTGATGGACAGCAGTCAGACGGCTGGGTGTGTCATATGATTGCTGTCTGTGTCATGTAGGTCACAAAGGGCTGATTAGGTTAACTTGGGGGGTCTGGCCCTGAGGGGATTTTTCCTGCAAGAGACTTATTAGACATTTACAATCCACAAACTCCTTGACCAAAGTTGGTCTTATTATCATTTCTATGGTTTTGACCTTCAGATTTGACAAGGAACCTGAAAGTTTACTATAGATTATTATGCTAAATCATGAATTGAAAGGTGGGGCTGTCATGGTCTTGCATCTGATGGATATTTACTGAAGGGGTGGGGTAGGCTGCCACTTGGCCTGCAGTAGAATGTCTAGAATGTCTACTGGTTATGCTGAGGCAGTAAGACTAAACAAGGAATAAGTGAAGTTTCTTCTAGGTTCCGATAGGTACCTCCTTTCACTTTGTACCTCTTTTCTCCTGCCCCTTCCTGTCCTTGTCAACAACTGCTCTGCTTTGTCACTATAGATTATACTTTACTTTCTAGAATCTTATGTAAATTGAATCAAAGGTGTACTCTTTTCTGTCTGGCTTCTTTCTTTCTTTCTTTCTTTTTTTTTTTTGAGTTAGGGTCTCACTCTGTTGCCCAGACTAGAGTGCAGTGGCTGCTCCCGGCCACTGCAGCCTCGACCTGCTGGGCTCCGGCGATCCTTCCGCCTCCGCCTTCCAAGTAGCTGGAACTACAGGCGAGCACTACCATGCCAGGCTAATTTTTTGATTTATTGTAGAGATGAGGTCTCACCAAGTTGCCCAGGTGGGTCTTGAACCCGCAGGCTCAAGCAATCCACTCACCTCAGTCTCCCAAAGT